GGGAAGCCTGAAGTCCCCACCAGACAGGTGCCAGGCTGAGTGGGAGAGCTCAGCTTCCCAGAGACCTGTTGGTAGAGTGATCCCCCAGAGGAGAGCCTTGTCCTAGGTGTGCAGGGGGGATACCTATACAAGAGAGGCTGTGGTCTTGGGGGTTGGGGGGGCCAGGCCCACAACAGAAAGGAAATACACTCTCCACCCCAGCCTTGAGAGTCAAGGCACTGGGATTCAAAGTGCCCTCCCCTTTCATTTCCATCCTTATTTGGCAGCCTTGGCATGTCACTCCTGGTCCCCAGCCTCTGTTTCCTCCTGTCTAAGTGGGCATACTAGCACCCCCTGCCCCAATTAATTGGTGGAGTCCATTTAAAGCGTCTTGCTCCAGTAAATGCCAGTGATTGTTGCTGGAACACAGCCGCAGCCCTGGGATCAGAGCATGTGCCTGGTGATCTCAGACCTGTTGTTGCTGGTGGCCCTGCCTGGACGCCGCCCCCTCCGACCCTCTCTGCAGTGGCCTGCCAGAGAGCCCACAAGACTTAGCCACGCCCCTAGCCCACCCCGCTCATAAACAGCCGCCTAGCCTGCCCCGCTGTTCTCTGGCACTTTCCAGTCCTCTGGAATCAAGGTGGTTGCTGCACCATGCAGTCTCCTGGCTTTGCACTCGCCTTCCTCACTGTGCCACTGGTGGTGCGCGGGAACTCGGAGGGTGAGCACCTGGACCCTGCCCATCCATTCTCGAATCTACTCTCCCTTGCAGCTCCCCCTTCTCCCTTTAAAGCCCTACCACTGGGGGGTTTCTTTAGGGGAGGAGATATTGGGGTCTTGGGCAGGAGAGGAGGGTCTGTCCTAGCTTCCTCTGGCCTAAGTCCTATGCCCCATTCTTGGACCCTGGCTGGGATGGAGCTCAGAGAGGACCCAAATGGCTGTCCTTCATCTCAGTCTCCTGTCCACTGTCCACAGGCACCTGGTGCTACGACTCCCAGGACCCAAAATGTGGTGAGGACAGAGTGTCGTGTGGGGCTATGTGGGATCAGTCTTTGTCCTGTGGCCACTAGACAGTCTGGTGCTGCATGAACCAAAAGCACTGTGCATGCCGAGCTTCCGTGGTCTCTGCAGGTTTCTGTCTGGAGTCCTGGGCCACAGTGGCTGTCTGGGCACCAGGCAGCATGGCTGTGACTGCCCCCCTGCCTGTGTGTCTGGGTCTGTTGCTGGTGTGATCTCCAGTCCTGGCATATGTGCCAAGCTTTTTGTATCAGTGGGGCCTGTAAGCCCGTCAGCGTGGTCAGCCTATGTCTGAGCAAGCGATACAGGTCCCAGTGTGGGTGTGTGACTGTGGTGCCAGAAGACCCTTCCACCCCCATCCCCTGTGGGGCACTCTAGCTGCAGGTGACTGTCAGAGTACGGCCCAAACCAGGTAGTGCCTACCTATGTGAGAGTGTTGCAAACACTGTGGCCAGGCTAGGTCGGGGTATGTGTGGCAGTTGTGACCTGTCCAGGTGTGTGGGGCAGCAGGAAGGAGCTTCCTGAGGTTGGGCCATTCTCTGGATGTGTGCAGGAGGGAGGGAGGGAGGCACTGCCTTCCTCTATGTATCCCCACATTACCCTCCTAGTACCCCCCGACAGATCCCTGACCTTTATCCCTCAGGCCCCACCCACTGGAAGGAGATGGCCCCTGCCTGTGGGGGCCCAGCCCAGTCCCCCATCAACATCGACCTTCACCTTGTCCAGCGGGACCCCACCCTGGGACCCTTCATCTTACAAGGCTACAACTCAGCACCTCCAGGCCCGTGGACCCTGGAGAATGATGGCCATACAGGTCAGTACCCTGCAGCCAGGACCCCCCCACCGACACAAGCTGAAACCCAACATACCCACAAGGATCAAAATCTCCACAAAGAGCACATGAACATCCATACTCATTGGTAAAAACACCCCCAACATGTGTATGAACCACCACCTTGCAGGTGTCAGGATCCCCCGATCAATAGCAGTCAGCCATTGACCCTGAGGACCAGAAGTCAAGACACTCCCAGAAGTCAGAGCCCCCCACAGCACCAAGATGCCTCGGAAGTTGTCACAGCCCCCCAATACCACACACAGCTGTGGTGGGTCAAAACTCCCACCACAGCAGGGCCACCCTCTCCCCCTCCATTGCATGGTAGGTTTTTTCCACTGCCATCTGCTGACCACCAGAAGATCAGATGAGGTCCCTATTCCGTGGAAGCCCAGCCAGGGAGCAGACTGGCCCGAAGGGACCCCGTGCAGGCACTCTGTGCCCTAATAGCACACATAAGGGCAAGCGTATGGAGGGTAAAAATGTCATGTGCTCCTTCACCCCCAGTGCTGCTCCACATAGACGCTGGCCCACAGAGCCACCTGGAGATTCGGGGTGCCGGGCTGCCACTCCCTGCCTACCGTGCACTGCAGCTGCACTTCCACTGGGGGGCCCCTGGTCGAGCAGGTTCAGAGCACAGCCTGGATGGGCGGCGCCGCGTCATGGAGGTGGGCTTGGGTATGGGGTAGGGTGGTGGGTGTGCCCTGTGGAAGGAGCAGCTCGTACCTCTCATGGTCTGTGCCTCTCCAGATGCACGTGGTCCACATGAACACGAGGTACCAGAGCATGGGGGAAGCTCGAGGCCACCCCGATGGGTTCGCCGTGCTGGCGGTGCTGTTGGCGGTGAGGGAGAGGCTGTGTGATCCCTTGCAGTGAGGGAGAGACAGAGTTGTTCTGTGACTCCTCGTGCTTCCCAGAAAAAGGGTCTGCAAAGGGGGCAGACTGGGCCTGTAGAGTCTTGGTGGGGCTGCTGGGGGAGTCTATAGGGTTAGTAGGATTTAAAGGGTTCTGTGGGAGGATGGGGTGGAAGAGAGGTCCCGGATCTGCAGGGTCAGTGGGGGGTGACCCTCACCCCAGCAGACCTCCCAGCTGCCCCCCAGTGGGAGCCTACCCTCATCCCACTTACAGTCTCCCCTAGACTGTCCCCTCTCAGATTTTCCCTTTGGAGACCCACCCACTCAGAACTTTTCTCACTTGGAGCCCCCTCCTCAGGAGCAGGACGCTGACAACGCCAACTTCTCCGCCCTGGTGTCCAGCCTGAAGAACGTGTCTGAGCGCGGTGAGGAGCCACGAGGTCGCACCCGGGGCTGGGGGTTGCTGGGGGCCAGAGGCGGCCGGGCACAAGGAGGCCGATTGCAATCCCAGCTCCCCTCCCCGGCTCAGGGGTCTCGGCGAACCTGGCATCCACCTTCCCGCTGGCCTCGCTGCTGCCGGGCGCCTCCGGCCTCTCGCGCTACTACCGCTACTCGGGATCGCTGACCACGCCCGGCTGCGAGCCCGCGGTTGTGTGGACAGTCTTCGAGGACGCGGTACCCATCGGGCGCGCACAGGTGGGGCCCCCACCCTTTCCCTGGGCGGTGCTGCCCTCCACCCTCCCTCCTGCAGCCCCGGCCCGCCCACGTCTTGACCTGTCTCTGCTCTGAACGCTCAGGCGGCCCAGTTCCAGACCGTGCTCCAGGCTGGGCTCCCCGGCTCAAGCCCTGCCCCGCTCACTGAGAACTTCCGCCCGCAACAGCCTCTCGGGGGGCGCAGGGTCTCGGCCTCTCCTGGCGCCTCCATCCGCGCGGCAGCCTCGGTGCCCGCCGCGACCCTAGCCCGTGTGCACGCGGCTCTGCTGGGCCTGGGGCTCAGCCTGTGGCTCTGGCAGAGGCCCTAGGAGTCAAATTCGACCCCTTCCCGCAATAAACGATACAGAGTGACCTTGGCCTCACATATCTTGCGGGGGTGGGGTGGGAACGCACTACCTCTCCCACGGAGGCCTCAGTGTGCCTGCAGAGGCCTCAGTGTGCCTGCCATACAACAGGGGACCCCTGAGGGACCCTCCGCCACCCCATCACATCCAGTCCCAGACTCTCTCCAGAACACAGACCTCCCCTGATCCGTCTGATTCCCCATTTCCAAGGAGAAATACTAGCAGGTCTTGGAAACGCCACATCTTAAAGTCTAATACTACACATTTTATTTAAAAAAAAAAAAAAAAAAAAAAAGCTGGCTGAGTGACCCCAGGACGGTGCGCTGTTAAATGATGACTTCAACTGAAGTTTCCAAAGCCAGGAGGAGAGAAGCTACTGGTTCCAGGCTCTGCCGCGGGCTGTGTTCGGTGGAGTGGGTCTGGGTGACAAGGACAGCTAGTGAAGGGCTCTCTGTGCAAAGTGAAACCCACTCCCAGGTGACACTGGGAAGTTAGGCTCTGGAACCTGAGTGTAGAGTGACACTTTCTGGAGGGACAGTGGTGTCCAGGTGACTGCCTGTGGTGAGGCTAGGTGAAGAGTTAAGTGTCCTTGGTGTCACTGTCCCTAACGAAGAGTCCCAAGAACGCTGACTAGATGCCACTGTGCCCAGGCAATGTTGTCCAGTAAGAGGCTGGGTCTGTCAGTAGAGTGAAGCTGGCCAGGGTCAAGCTGCTGTCCAGTCGATGCCCTGTGGACTGCGGTTGTATATCCAGGCGGCACTGCCCTGAGTGAGTCTGTGTCCAGGTGACAATGTCCCAGCAGCCCACGTGTCCCTAACATCTATTGAGTAGTGTGTGGGTCAGTGCCTGGAGGCCCAGCCTCCAACCCAAGACCCTTAAGAAAACAATACAAAACAAATACAAACAAACAGAAGCCTGTAACATCCTCCCCTGAGGCCGACCCTTGGGCTCTCCCGGAGGCTGCCACATCCCTGGCCCAGACCCTTCAGCAGCTCTATCCACCCCTCCTCCAGTCCGAGGCTCAGTCTCCAGCCGTAATCAGTGCCTGCGCAGAAGCCATCCGTACTCCCCAGACGTGATCCCGACAGTCCTCAGCCTTGGCGCGTCCCGCCGCCCACACCCCGATGCTGGAGCGCTAGCAGGCGGCTTCTGAGGACCCTTCTCCATCTACAAGGGTGGTGTATCTGTCCGTATAAATAGATTGGGGGAGGGCGCTTCCAGCACCTGGCCCCGGCTACCCTACCCTCGGCGGGGCAGCCCTCAATCTCCGCCGCCCTGCGGGGCCCCTGGCGGCACCGGCGTCTTCTTGAAGTTCTTCCTGGCCGGGGCCCGGTTCACGTTGCCGTCGGCAGGGCCGCCCGGTGCGTCGTCGGCGTGCCTCGCGACCGCGGCCAGGGCGTTCATGGTGCCGAGCGCCCTCAGCAGAGCCGGGCCGCGGGGCGCGGCGCGCGGGGCGGCTCGGGGCTCCCGGCGGGCGGACGGCGGCGGGGGCGGCAGCAGTGCGCGCAGGGCGTCCAGCTCCGCACGCAGCTCCGCGCGCAGCGCCTCCAGCCCCGCGCCCAGCTCCGCGCGCACTGCCGCCAGGCCCTCCTGAAGCCGCCTCTCGCTCACCTCCAGGACGCCAGCCGGGTAGGTGGCCCCGCCGCGCGGCTCCCCGCACACAGAGCACACCGAGCCGCTGCTGCGCGCGTCCGCCCGCTCCCCGGCTCCGGGCGCCCGGGCTTCCCCGGCCGCGGCCCCCGCGCGCTCCACCAGCCGAAGCAGCCGGGGCGCATCAGCCCGCGCCGCCGCCTCGGCCCGGATCTGGCCCCGTAGGCGAGCCAGGCGGCCCGGGGCGCGGGCTTCTTCAGGGCCTGGCCCGTTGGGCTGCGACCCGTTGTCCCGCCGGCGGCCGGCGGCCCTTCGCAGCGCCTCGCTCGCGCCGTATGCACTGCGCGCCTGGGCCCACGGGCGCCCGGGTTCCACCGCCATTCGTGCCGCAGCCGCCACAGCCACCGCCACCGGCGCCGCGCCTGGCCGGGAGCCCCAGCCCGCAGCCTAGCGACCGCTGGGGCCCCGGCGACGCTCCGTGGAAAGGGCCCCCCGGGATGGCTGTGGGAACGACTGAGGTCTCGAGGGATCTGGCCTGGGCCCGGGGAACTCCGGCAGGGCGGGAGGGGAGTGGTGGATGGAGCCCCAGGGAACGCCGGGGTGTGGGCAATGCAGGCAGGCTTGAGTGTGCTAGACCTGCCCACGGGGACTGTGCTGTCGGTGGGTCCCAACGAGGATCGAAGAGCTTGGACTGGCTTCTGGGCAGGAGGTGACAGGACGTGGAATGATGAAGGCTGCAGAAGCCTAGGCGCCCAGACCAGAGTCAGGAAACAGATTCACGCCATCTGCTCCAAACAACTGTCCTGGTCACAGTCAGGGGAAGGCAGGTGTGGTTATGGACCCACCGGTCCCCAGTCCTCCTCGCTGACCAGGGCCACCACCTCCATATCATAGTCCAGGCTATTATCCGCACAGCTGCAGGAATCCATCCTTCTCATGGGCACCTCCATTCAAGCTTTCCCGGGTCTGGGTAGCTCCCTGCTGTGTCCCAGTCCTCAGGAAGCCACTGGATGTCCTAGCCCACCCCCACACTATTCTGGCTATGTCTTCTTTTACCTGCTCTAATCCAACAGCCTCCACTCCTCTGGGGCTTTACTCAGGTCTTTCTCTGCCAGGAATGTTCCCTGCTCCTCCACAGCCTGGCAGCTCCCACTCATCCCACTTCTGTAGGGCAGCCTTCTTTGGCCACCCCAGCCTCCAGCAGGTGACTCAGGCCCCACACCCACAGCATCTTTAAATGGCACTCTGCTCTCTGTCCACCTGGATTCACAGTAGGGGCTCTGAGCACTGGGCGACTGGGTCTCTCAGTTCCCAGAGGTACTAAACATGCCAGATGTTGGATGCAGGAATAAATAAATGAGTGAATGAGTCTGGGGCTGGGCATCCTGGGTGGGGCAGGGCCTCTGCCACCCACCCTAGTCAGCCAATGCACCTTCTCAGCCTGACATTCAAGCCCCTCGTGGTCACCCCTGCTGGCTTTTCTGTCCCTGCCACCTTTTCCACTTGTGTGGAAGCTCCTCACTATTGCACTCGGGTCTTTCTCACCCTGGTGCCTTCACACATGCAGTGCTGCCTGTGCCCATCACAGGGTCATGGGCAGTGCACTGCGGGCCTCTCTGGAGGGCAGCATCCCTCTGCCCAGCATGTTGTTCTCACTGAACCCTAGGGGCTAGTTAGGACTCCGGGTGCCCTGGGAGCCCCCCTACCCCAGCGAATTGTGGGGAGGGAGGGTCTGGCGTGGGTCCAGGCTGGGTGGCGAGGGAGACGGGAAGGCAGCCACTGGGACCTGTGTCCCTAGATCCCACAGGGGCCTAGCCTCTATCCAGCTCTGTGCCCGTGCCCGTGTGTGTGTGTGTGTGTGATTGAGGGTGCAGCCAACCCTGTTCTTTGGCAGTCCTGCCCCCACCCCTGGCCACCATGAATGCTCCAGGATCCCCTTCATTCATTCATTCACTCACTCATTCATTCATTCATTCATTCACTCGTTCATTGTAGCCTGTCTCTCTGGAAGGTGCAAGGAGAGATGAGAATATGTCAGTCTGTCCACCCCTCAGACACCTCCCCCTTTCCTGCTGAGTCACCCGGTCCCCTGGGACCTCCAGCATCTGTTTCTGCTGGTCCCTAGAGCCTCGTTAACCATACTCCTGCCCTCCTTCCCTTAGTAATTAAAACACTGCAGACCAAAATGTCCTGGATTCCTTCCCCAGACCTGCTGGAGTCAGGCTGTGTGACCCAGGGGCTCTGCCTTCTCTGAGCCTCACCTGTGAAATAAAGGAGGCCCCTAAGATCCCTGGGAGGAGACAGCAGGGATGCTGGAAAAGGCTGGGGCGAGGGGAGGTGAACAGACTCCAGATTTGTGATGTGGTGTTAGAGCCAGGAAGGGCACAGCTGGGCTGCCTGGGGCAGACAGGGACTATGAGGTTTTCTCTGACTGTTGAGGTTGATGGAGGCATGTGATATGAACAAAGCCTTTGCAGTAAGGAATTCATAATCCTGCAGGTGCTATAGGTGTGAGGTCATGGCTGATGGTAGAGTCCCAGAGTCATGGCTGTGAAGCAGGCAGATTGCACAGGAACAAGTGTAGGGTGGGCAGGGAAGCCCCAGGGACCCCAGTGAACCCTGAGGAGGGCTGCAGAGGTTTTGGTGACAGGTGAATAGGCAGCTGTGGTCAACATGACCCTGAAGCCCAATGGTCAAGTGCAGCGACGGTCAAGAAATAGGTTGTGGTGATATGTTTGCACGTATAGGAGGATTAGGAGGAACTTGACGGAGGACCAAGGGGGAGAAGAAGGGCGGAAATGGTGGGGGAAAGGGAGAGAGGCAAACCATGAGAGACTCTTGAATGCTGACAAAAACTGAGGACTGATGGATGTGGGGGGGAGGGGGGGATGGGCATGAAGGAGGGCACTTTGGGGATGAGCACTGAGTGTTATGCAAAAACTAATTTGACAATAAACTATTTGTAAAAAAAAAAAAAAAAAAGAAATAGGTTGTGGTGGCCCCAGCCCGAACTTCATGTGTGGAGGGGCCAGTGGAAGCTGAAAAGGTTGGGGGGGGGGGACAGGTTGGGGAGCCCTTGCCCAGGCTGGTTAGTCAGAACAGAGGTAGCTTCAGAAGGAATGGGGCAAGAAGAAGGGACAGAGCTACTGGGCCAGAGGGACTGGCACACAGGCCTGCTTTCTGGAATATCTAAGTAGCCCAGCCTGCCCAGCTTCCTGCACTGTGCAGGGCTCAGCGCCTTCCCCACTCTGGCCCTTTCTGTGTGCCTGGGCCAAGGGCCAGGTCTGCTGGGGGTGAGGAGGCTGGCTGTGACTGTGGGAACACCACCTCCGGGGACTGTCCCCATCTGGGCTCTGTGCATTCAGGTGGGCCCTTCTGCACAGACAAGGTTGGGTGATTCGTGGGCTTTGCCACTTATTAACTCATTAATGGTGCAGGGCCCCTCCAGGGCCTGGGGAGGAGGGAAAACTCTGGGGCTCTGCGTCTGCCTGGAGAAGGGAGGGGTGGCCTCCACGTGACTTAACTGCCATCACCTTTACACTCTGTTGCCATTAAACCCTGGCAGCCACCCAGAGAAGAGGTTTTGTTTTCCAAAGCCTGAGGACCAGGTGGGCTTTGTATCTGGTGGCCTCAAAGGGGCCAGGGGAGCCTCACAGTCATCATGGGAGAATCTGGAAATGCAGATGCCTGGGTGGCACCCTCCCTCAATCCCCTTCCTCCTTCCCCCACCCCCCACCCCCGGCCCCATTAGGTAGACCTGCTTGAGGACAGAGTGGTCTTTGTCTTTTTCCATCACTATCTGCACACCAAGTTCTGGCCCAGCCTGGTTTTCGGTGAAGAGGGCACACGGAAATGCAGGTGGGGGTCCCTGAAGCTGGCTCTGAGGGTCTGTGTGGGGAGGGAGAGCCCTGAGCTGCCAGCCACCCTGGGAGGAAAAGGGTTAGCTTTGGAGCTGGTCCTGGAGGGCACGGTACAGGCACTGGGTCCAGGCGGTGGGCTGCCACTTTCCTTTCTGGTCACAGACCCTGGACCTCAGCACAGACTCTAGAACAAAGGTGCCCACCCATTCTGTACTCCAGCTATGCAGCTTGCCCTGAGAGCCAGGCTGACTAGGCCTCTGGCCATGAGCGAGCAAGCAAGGCCGTCTTGGCTGGGGCCTGGACCTTGGGCCCAGGGCACTCAGGAAGGAAAGGCTGTGGTGCCTTTTGGGCCCCCAAAGTGCAGGCCATGTAGTAGAGGTTCAGTGGACAGCAGGTCTGGCTTGGGCCATTGTTCAAGACACCATTCTGGGCTGGTTTGCTCTGTCTTATGGTTCTCTAGTTGCCCTTTTGCCTCGCCTCAAGTGTTCCCACCTGTCAGAACCCAGGAAGAGTCTTCTCTGGCCAGGAAGTGGTGAGGGTGTCCGAGGTGACAGATGTCGGGAGGTGTGCAGGCACCATGGGAGGCCTGTAGCCTAAAGGGCAGGTCCCCTGCTACCCGGACCCCTAAGCTGCAGGTGGCTCCTCATTTAAAGAAGGGGCCAAAGGGTCCGGGGCTTCCTGTGAGGACTGAACTTGGGCACCGTTTGCCCCTGAACAGCCCTTGGCCACCAGGCCCAGGAACTGTGCCTTGGCCTGCTGGTGGCTCTGGCTACCTAGACATTCCCTAGGAACTGTCCTGGGGCAAGTGGCTCTGCAGGGGACGGCTGATTACCCAGTAATGACCTTGTCTGACCTCAGTAATGAGCTCATTACCTGGTAATGACCTTGTTTGCCTCATCCTGGCGTCAGCAGCCCTAGAATGTCTGGCCTGGGTTGGCTCTGACAAGTCAAGACCGTGGCCTTCAACCTCCCAACTTGGCCCAGATGGGGCATTAGGCCTGGCAGCGGCTGTGTGCCCTGCGGGCCCAGGCTCAGCTTCCAGTGGGAAAATTCTGGGTTCCTGACCACCCCATCCCCACCCCCACCAGCTGCACAACCTGGCCAGGTGAGCCCTTTAACCTCTATGCCTCACTCACCCACAGGTGGGTGAAGAGGGTCCTCATGGGGCAGTGAGGAGGGTTGCCTCTAAAGAACACTCTCTGCTCACACAGGGGGCCTCAGAGGCTCCCCTTCTGCCAGCTGGCTGGGGGCTCCATGTTAGGGCCATCCTCACAATCACTGGCCCCTGCAATGGCCCCTCATCTTGCCATTCCTGATATAGGAGACTATGAGGGGGGTCCAAGGGCTGGGTCAGCCTGCTCCATCAGGGTCCGCTCCACCTCCCTGTGGCCAAAGGTCACTTCTCTGCTCTCATCTTTGATCTCTTAGTAGCACTGACACAACTGGCTATGCTCTTCTCACGTGCTCCTGGTGACCCCAGACCCTGGCAGACACCTCTCACTCCCATGCCATCCCCCGGGA